TTGGACCATTATTTCACTGATGCAGTGAACTACTGAACAGGTCGTCGTACATCATCTAACACATTTTATTTACAAGGTTTTTGTACAGTATGAATGAAGTAGTAGAAAAGCACACCCATCATGATGTAGTATGGTTCACCAAAGCACAAGAAAAACTGGGACTGTACGAAACCGGGACAAAAGTTTTGGGTAGGGACTACATGTCGCCGAAAGTGAAAGGTGCCGCCGGACATGGTAGAGGAACGAAGGCCGCCAGTTTCAACCGCCTTTCGCTGCCAAATGTTTTTTTTTTGTTGCAATGTTGCTGCATGTCCTTCCAGGACCAGTAATCCGCGGAGGTGGTTCAAGCTGGCGGCTTTCGTTCCCCTACCCTCAAGTACGCATTTCAATATATGCATAGGCTGAGTATCTGCTGCTTTGTTCACGCGCCTCCCTCCTTCGGCGACATACAGTCCTCTATCAAAAAGGTTTGACGACAATAGTCCTTCATTTGATAGCGAAATTCCCAGGAGATCTAGGGGATAGATTTTTAAGGTATAGATGAAGCCACTACACAACAAAAAGTACAGTAAAGAAAGGTGGAAAGTAGTATGCGATTAGTAACCATCAAGAGCTTATTGAGCTGAGGTGAAGGAAAGCTTGTGCGATAGTTAACTACTTACAGAATATCACAATCCAGACTAGAAATATTAGACGTTATTTGTCGACTAGAGAAAGTTGCAAAATACGTTGAAGCTCTTCTTCTTCCTTCTGCGCTTCCTCTCGTCGTCTCTGTTCTTCATCACGTGAAAGCCGCAAGGCCAAAGCAAGGCTATCCTCGGCCTAGAATCGAATACGCACTAAATTATGGAAACAAACAGAATGAAAGCACGCTTACCTCCTCCGGAGCTGCATCAGCAGCTGCAGGAGGTAGACCAGATGTTCGTAGACTTTCCTGGATAGCCATAGCCAGTTGCCTCTCCTCTTCGGCTTCTTCGTCGTATGCAGGTAAAGCATCGGGTACCAATGGACCTAAAGACCGAAGGTTTATTGCTATTAGTTGCAAAAAGGAACATACCTAAACTCGCTCCGGAACCGGCATTTTCACCAGTGCGAAAACTTTCTTGTATAGCTAGCTGCAGCAACATTTCCTCTTGTTGCTGCATTGAAGGATGATCTGCAAAGCATTATGTTCAAAAAAGGTTTAAAAAAATAAAGCTTGTAGATAAAAAGAGAATGAATTCAATCCTTACACATTGGGGAAGCACCGCCATGCAGATTAGACATATCTTGTTCATCTTCTGGCCACCATAGACTTGCATTCAAATCGTCGATTGTTCGATAAGATGCAGGTATTTCAAAAAGGTCATCTTCAATAGCAACAGCAGTGACTTTGAAGTTCGCCTAAAATTCTTCGGAATCTTTGCATAAGCAATCCAGGCATTCGAACTTACCATTGTCTCAAGAGGTGTCACAAACGGTCCCGGCTCATTAATTTGACTAAAAGTGATCTTCGCACTCACAACATGGAATAGAGGAATTTCTGCAATAAAAAAAA